TGTTGCTTTTCTTTCCATAGCTGGCCGGCTATTACATCAGATTAGAAATTTTTATTTAAATAATCATGCCAGAAATTATTTAAACAATAAGAGAGTTCTGATTTAATTCACTAATAAATAATACATCTTTATGCGTTACTCCAAAAAATTTTGTTATAACACTTCGTACATTATACTAAGAAAATAAGAAAATACATAACCTATTTCTGACATTATTCAGAATAAATAATATTTCATTTTCATACATGATACTGAGAAAATAAGAAGCCATTGACATATTTCGGATATTATTTTCAATTAAAAAATATTTCATCCTCACGTGTCACCCTAACGAATTATTACAATACTTCATGCATTATGCCAAAAAACTGATAAATGTCTTGACACATTTCCACACATAATTCTAATATTACCGAACACAACGAACTATTTCCTCCATCGTGCATTATTCTACATTACACAATACTTGACGTTTCACGATACTCTACTCAACGAACTATCTTTTAATTAAATATTCTATCTGTCAAGATGAAACATTTCCAATAACTCAAACTAAAATTCCTCTCTGAATTATCAACACTTTACGTAATCGCAATTTAGAAGAACACCTTACTGTACTCGATTCACTAATTAAAAAAAAAATATGGATAAATCGAGTTGAAAGAGAACCTGCAACATATCGGCCGGCAGCGATATAACTTCGAACGAGTCGCTCATCAACACGACGAAACTGTCGCAGCCCTCCCAGGACTCGGGGCTGCAGGACTCTGGCTCGGAGTCACTATAGGAGTCCGCCTTCTCTCCGCCGGCGCCAAAGTCCGGCTCCAGGTCCGAACGGGACGAGGAACTTGCCGACTCAATGGTGAACCTAGATCACTGTAGTCCCCGCGCAACGATATCCTCAAATCAGTTTGCACAACTTCTTTCTCACCGAGTAATTAAACTATACCATAATTCTTAGATATTCTTCACATTTCTTCACAATAAACACCACAGTTCTCTTATCCATGCAACTTTTCGATAAATCGAAAAAATTGTCACTCGTTACTTTCTCAACTGTAGTTACGATAGAAATTATACCACTTCTCAGGCTGGAAGAGGGTGAATAATTAGTAATAATTGCCCGTGTAAATGGCGGATAAAAAACTCTGGATAGGAAAGAAAAAAGAAGGAAAAGTTAGAGAAAACGTAGATCACGATACGACCTTGAACAAGTGGCTGATAATCGCTGAAGACTGAACGCGATCAGAACTAAAGGGAAAACGTGGTCACCGTGGTGAAAGAGAATAGCGAGAAGTAGGTGCAACCACGGCTGTGCTCGATGGACAACTGGTGGCGGGGTGTGTGGCTGGGGA